CAATGATGAAAACTGAGTGCTTGCCGCTGCTTTCACTTCGGCTGTGAAGGTTGAGGTTGGACTCAACTCGAGGTGTGCCAGACAGCCGGAAATACCGGTCTGTATCGACTCGATGTGCCATACGGCCGGCGGTGCGAGCGAAGCCACGTAGGGGACCGTATACGTTTCGCCCGGGTGGATCTTGTTCAATCTTGTCGTATCAACTCGATTTGTCTTTGCCAAGTCTTCGACGCGGATACCCAAAGCTCCAGCTGCTTCGGCTGCATGCTCGCGCTCGCGGACGACCCAGTGACCGTTCTGCCCAGGAGTGCATGCACTGGCTGCAGCTAAGTAGCTGATGGAAGCAACTAGGCGCATGTCACGATACGGGACGACAATGAAATGTGTGCGACGTTCAGTGGCGTGTTGCACGAACAGAAACGCCTGTACGTATTGAAACCCAGTGCGACTTACTCGTCTTCCTGTGATCCGAACCAAATGCAATGAAACTTGCAGAGGGCTTCGGGGGAACTGGGTAGTGAACAGGAAGAACAGGAGCAATTTCTGGATCACCCTGTCGCGGATCGGGTCTCATCCAGGGCGACACCCTCTTCTCAGCCCCTGGCAACATCAAAGCCTGTCCTCGTCCCCTGGCGACACACTTGAAAGAAGGCTTGCAGGACGTGCGATATGAATGGTGTGAAGCTCGCATGATGAGTGGTGTGAAGCATGCAGGCTTGCAGGCCGCGTGGTGTGAAGCAAAGTCGGCCTGCAGGAAGCGTGGTGTGAAGCTCGCAGGACGTGTGGTGTGAAGCATGTAGGCTTGCAGGACATGTGGTGTGAAGGTCGCAGGACATGTGGTGTGAAGCTCGCAGGATGTGTGGTGTGAAGCAAAATCGGCTTACAGGACGTGTGGTGTGAAGCTCGCAGGACGTGTGGTGTGAAGCATGTAGGCTTGCAGGACATGTGGTGTGAAGCAAAGTCGGCTTGCAGGAAGCGTGGTGTGAAGCTCGCAGGACGAGTGGTGTGAAGCATGTAGGCTTGCAGGGCGAGTGGTGTGAAACAAAATCGGCTTCCAGGTCGAGTGGTGTGAATCTGGCAGGACGAGGGGTGTGAATCATGCAGGCTTGCAGAATGTGTGGTGTGAAGCGTGTTGGCTTCCAGGACGTGTGGTGTGAAGCTCGTAGGATGAGTGGTGTGAAGCTTGTGGGCTTGCAGGACATGTGGTGTGAAGCAAAATCAGTGTCCTGGAATTGTGGTGTGAAGCGTGCAGGCTTGCTGGGCGTGTGGTGTGCAGCCAAATCGGCTTCCAGGCCGTGTGGTGTGAAGCTCGCAGGGTGAGTGGTGTGAAGCATGCAGGCTTGCAGGACGCGTGGTGTGAATCTCGCAAGACGTGCGGCAGGAGGCGAAGAAGGATTGCAGCCGTTTCTGGACGCGATTTGTTGCACATTGCCCAGGACAAGGGGTAGGGCTAGGGTGGTACAGGGGTACAGACAAGGATCCATGTCCCCTGTCATTCAGCCCACCACCCGCTTCTTTGCTTCACACCATCAACCTTCATCCCGCGATTCTCCACACCATCGCACCGGACATCCATGTTGACGCTTGCCTGCAACGCTGACACCCTCGTCTGGGCGCCGACAATGGCTCATTCTGGGAGGTCTTGGAGTCGGCGGGAGAGTCAATCCGCAACGTGCCGCCCATCTTCCATCGTAGAAGCCGCTGCAGTGTGTCGAGGAGCCGAAAGTTGTGTCACATGAGAACTAGGTAGAAACGGCCACGGAAGGGTCTAGGACCGACGCCCCAACCCTCTCTGTCCAGTCTGTCCTCTCACCTTCCCCCGTCGCCCACCTGCACTGTACTTCACTCTCAGTCTGCGAAGAAGCAACGTTGAACAGTATCAATGGGCCAGCCACGACAGCATCTACCACCAGCAGTCGCTGATCGTATCCTCCTGCATCAAGGCACTGCGATCTGTCCGATACCGTCACATTCTGAACAAAGCGCCGTCCGAATTTGCCCTTCATCGATTCTTTAAAGCCCGGCGCAATATTGCACGCAGAATACCGACGAAGCTGGCAAGTGAAGTGTTAAGGTTGCCATTCGCCATGGCTTTCAACGTATGGCATTTAGCCAAAGCCTCACTGACGGTTCGTACTTAGCTAGGGAGAGCACCATCCGCAGTCTCCAGATACCTCGTGAGCTTGCGTGGACGGCCGGTCACGATTGAACCCCCGAGCGACGATGACATACAAAGGCTATCCAGGGAGAGCTTGCCGCAACCTTGCATTCGAGTTGTGAAGCAACTACACCTCCACGCCGACGTGCTGTACGCTGCGGCACATCGATGCTGGACTTGGACGAAGAGCACGAACTTGCTAGCCGGGCTGCAGCGATTCAATATGACAGTATTTGACGTGTGAAGTCCTACTTTTGTATCCTGGTGGACAGGGTTCGTTGCTGCCGCCTGCACTCATCTCATCTCTGAGCAGCGACCACTGGAGTCAAAGGTCAGATCAGAGTTCAAAGTTCCAGACTATATCACGTGACTCCCGAAAACGTGTACACCATGATACTCGTCGGACGGGTTCACCAGCTCGCGGCTTGTTCTGGCTTGTTCTGTCATGACACTGCGGACATTCCATGCTATTCTCTGAGCCAACTTGAACAGGTAAGTTAATTTCTGCGACTATGCAGTCTTTCTAAATGGCTACTCGGCTAGGCGTTGGACTCTATCGTGTGTTGGAGAAGCTGACATGCTCCTCGCCGTCTCTGGGGAAAATCTGAGCCAATAGAAAGCCCCCATCATGCGCGTTGTCGCCACGCCAGCGTGCTGGCCATTGGCCCTGCATCAAGCCCAGTAACCGAGATCCGATTCGTTTAGCGACGGCACGGATCGCCAGCTGGTCATGCCACGTTGTACAGTACTTGATGGCAGATCGACCGGCGCAGGCACCAGCTCTGCAAAAAGCAGCGAGCAGTAAAGCCCATAAATTCCTCGTCTCGTTCGGTGCGGTGATTGAACTGTCTTTTTCAAGTGGACACCGTTCTCTGAAGAACTGGCGGCCAATGCGTAAGCGCTTCAGGTGTTTGTACATTTAGAAGAAATCGCAGCGTGGAAGTATTGAACAAAAACAAGGCACCCCTCCTACCGTTCAGAACACCCGAAAATAATCAGGCCAGGAGAAAGTCGACTCGATGCAGGAGACCATCAGAGCCCAAGAATGCCAGGACGCCAAGCCCGTGGTGATTGGTTGACCACGGGTTCCACAGGTACGGCCCTTGTGCATATAGAGAAGCTTTTGATTGGCTGCTGCGGCGCCATATGTGGTGGAACCTCCCCGAACCATTGTCACATGGCTTTGAAGATCGCCT